TCCTAGGGCTTCCACGAGAGGTAGAGTGAAATGGCGTGGCTACCGTGCCATAATAAGCGCTTCTGAAGCATCCAAATTCACAGTTGAGAATTTTATTGGTGGGAGATCATGGTTACCAGGCACAGGCATTCCATTTTTCTCAGGGCTCTATGATTAAGATGATTAATTTGAAGAGATTGCATATTATATAATGTATACAAACTTGTTATTCAAGCCTTTAATTAAATTGATTACTCAAAAACCAGCACCGCAAATCCTTGAGAATTATTGATAATAAGCTCATTGATGCTTTTTCTTTTGTAAGTTCTATGTATTGAATTGCATTGAAATGATTACATCTGTTCTATATATTTTTTATTTCTTATTGTAGATAAAAATAAAACAAATGTCAGCAGAAACGTCAAAGAAGTGTTCACTTAGAAATTTTATTTGTTGTAATTGATATTGTTCACGTACTGAAAAAACCCTAAATTTTATTTAGTTTACTATTTCCTTTTCCCAAGTATGACATAGTTCAACATATAAAACTTGCCTTTGAAAGATATAACTATTTTGGCCATTTAAAATAAAAGAGTGAGTGGTGCAAATAATAATTTGGGGTTGTCAATAGCAATACCTAATGTTAATTTTTTTGCCGCAAGCACAATACGAGTATAGGTAAATTTATTAATTAGTGTTTAAGGGAGCTGAGACATTTTATTAAAAGTCTCATGAATTGAATTAATGTGTAAAAAATATTTATTATAAATTTTTCACAAACTAATTTTTATCTTATCATATATAAACTAATTAACTTATAAAGAAAATAATTTATTTTTTCTTAATTAGAACTTTAGTTTTCTCCTCTTTTATATGGAATATTGAATGTTAGGTACATAATATGGTAGTAAATAGAAAAACATGTCCATCCTTTGTAGATGAGAAGAAGTTAGCGACAGAGCCTTGAAACATATAATATTTGTATTGAGGAAATTTGAAAAAGAAAATGAAAAGATATTAGTAGAAATTCTGAGTTACATTACATATGGATTACGTACTTAGCTACAATTTTAAAGTATCAGAATACTCAATTACTAACTTTAAAGTATTGCATTCATCTATTACTTTTGTCTCACTACAACTGAAATAATTATGGCTTTAAGATTTTCACTTTTACCAAGACAATGATTAGTTCTAATTCTGCGTAGGAACCACCTTAAAATTAGGTGTCGAAAATTATAGGGTGTGCAAATACTGTATCATTAACCTAATTATATGTCGAACAACCATCACTTATGCAGAATTAATTAGAAAGAGACATCAACAGAAGGCATTAGGTGGTTTCTGAGGCTTGGCATATGATGAGGATCAATTATGAACAGAACATCCACGAGATCCAGACTCACTCATTCTCACTATCATCATCATCATCACAACAATGTCATCACAGTTTAGAATTGAAGAGGAATGTGGAAATGGTAGGGTCTAGGAACAGAGTGGAGCCTAGGAGGGGCCACCATGCCTCATTTGTGTGAGAATTAATTAACTCTTTCTTTTCTTTTTCTTTTTTTTCCATGAGGGTGTGGAAGCTGTTCCATTACGTCAACACTGGTGACAAGCAAATTAAAATGTTTTTTTTTTTCTCATTCCACCACATCGAATATGGACCATAGCAGATAGAGATACAAGAAAGAATCAGAAGAAAAATAATAAATGTTCTAAGTGTGGTGATGAGAAAATGCAGACATATGTGTAAATTGACAATATATCTATATCTATATCTATATATATTTCATTTTCACTAGGTGTTAAAGTATAGAGATGCTTATCTATCTTTCTCCATTACTTATAATGAGGAAAAGAAAGAATGAAATATCAACGAGTAAGGTGAGTGCAAAAAAGAGGAAATCAAAATGTATTTTTAATAGATTTAAAACAAATAATTGATTGTATATCTCAATGGAAAATAGTCCTAAAAAACACATAAGTTTTTTTTTTCTGTTAAAAAAATAGGAAAAGGGTTTGGTAACACTAAACCCTATTAAAGAATTAGAAAAGAACAAGTGAATATACTCATGTGGTATGATGTAATAAAAAATAATAGGAAAAATGCTAAGTGTTAATGAATGTGTAATAAGTTATTATATTAACGTGAATTTTCCCATCATCTTTGGGAGCTTTAAATTGGTGTTTGGTCTGAGCCATTAGTTCCTCTTCCTTCACCATTTGCACTTTGCCTCTCTCACATATTCACAAATAATGAAACTTATTGCTGCAGATACATAATAAATAGACAGAAAGAGACCCTTTTGTGAGAGTTTTCTTTGTTGCATTCTTCACTCTTTGTCAATTGGTTGTGTCTCTATCGGTTGCGGGTAGAGGTGGCAGCAGAGAGACTCATTTCCTTTCCTTTCTTCCCTTCTCTTCTCTTTCTCTGCTTGATCTGCCATTTATCCTCTTAAAGCTTCCCCACCAATTCAGCTCTTCCTGACAGTGAGATCTATCTGTTCCCACACATCCTATTCTTTAAGAGAAAACAAAGAGATCCATCGAATCATCCAAGAGAAGAACAAGAACTATATATATAATTCATTCACTTGCTTTTTCTTTCCTTCTTATTCAATCCCACTTCCACTCTTCAACCTCACCTTTCTTTTGCCTCTTTCTTTCTCACCCTTTTTCTTATTAATTCCTCCGGATCCACTTCAGAAACCACGTGTCTGGTTGCTTCTCTTCTATAAGTAACTTCTCAGTTTCTTCTTTCGCTTAATCTTCTTGTTTCATTCAAAATCTATTGTTTGGTCAAGTTGAAAAAGAGATATATCATATATAAATACCAGTTTAGCTAACTTGCATGATATCTCAGTGTCAAAGGCCAATTCATTTTTCTGAGACATTAAAGGATTTTATATAATTTTCATCCTTGGTGGAAGATTGTGACTGCATCACTGATCTGTGGCTTCCAAGAGAGAAATCAAGGTAGATATTTTCTTCTGTTGCTTGATCTCTGTGATCTCTCACATTTACCTTTCCTTACTTCATAAACTGTATACTATATGGTGCATATACCTAAACATATTGTTGCTTTGCACATATATACTTAAATAAGTTCATGGTGCAATTAGATATACATGGTGGTGCAAACTTTTACATATTTTGCAGATTTAAAATTTTTGCGCAAGTGCTTAAAGGACTGTGATCAATTCGTTTAGTCATTTTGAATCTCTATTTTCTTTCTGATTGATAGCATCTTGTTTTTCCCTGAGCATTTATTGTTACGAATTATAACAAGGTTCATGAACTTTATCTCTTTGGTAGCATGGGTTATGAATTAGTGGGAATCACAATGAGTGACAATCACTTGTGTGTCTTCTCTTATTGTGTAGTGTATCGTGCATGTCTACTGACGCATGTCTGTCTGTTGACTATGTAAGCATTTCACATGCATAACAATCATGTCCATTCATGCTTTTTCTACATCTACACATCTATATATCTATATCTCTCTCTCTATATATATATATACACGTTTTTTCTAACATTTTCGCATTCTTTCTTAAATACTGACATGGAGAAAAGTGCTATTCCCTCGTTTCACCATGTGAATTAGGGAATTTTTTTATAGACCCAGCAATCATTCTATTTTTCTGTTTCCACTCTTTTACGTTAAATTTCCGACTCCGAGGCAACTCTGATTAGAAATAATGGTGTTTGTCGTGTGTCCTCCATGACCAGTACTTATAATGTTGGCTAATGTTTAGCTAATTAACTAGGTTTGATTGTAGTTGAATACATAAAATCTTTGGAAATACTTTGATTTGATGCTAAGGAAATATTGAAATATTTAAGCTTAGTTTATCTCTAACTATTTTTACTAATATTACTCCTCTCATTCTTTTAGGATTTTTGGAAGGTCTAAATATTAATTACTTTTTCTTAGTTTCCACACAATCTTTCAATGCATTCACATGTATGAATGTATGCTTTCAAACCAGAATATTAGGATATAAAAACGCAATATTTATTTTTATGATGCATGTAATTTTTTTTATATAAAATAAGCAATGTAAATATAATTCCTCAAAAGAAGACAAGCGTAGGAGCAAAAGGTGAAACAATTATATTAGAAAGTTAACGAAATTTTTACGCAAACTATTTATTTGTCGCATCCTTCATGGTGAATCAGGTTAAAAAATTCATGCTTCCAGAATTGGGGTGTGCATTTAAATTTTGGATGGGCTAAGGAATAAACCCTAATAATGTTCATCGTTCAGTTTATCTGTCACTAAGCAGCTAGCAGAGTCTAGATCTGCTTAAAATTTCTAATACTTTCTCTCAATCAGAAGCTCATCCCATCATTTTATAAAGTATGATTTTATGTTAAATTATTTTGTGACGAATGAAAGCTCTTTTAACAGGTTCTAATTTCTGATTATGGATCCTTCAAAAATGTACTAGAGAAATTAATAAGAGAAACTTTCCAGTGCATTAATTCTTAAGTAGACGTGATTATTTTCAGTATCTAAATATTTATCAATTTTATGAATGATTGATTTTTATTATAAAAAAAAGTTATATACAGATTTCGAATATAAAATTTTATTTAAAACATTGAAACTCAGTTTTACTGGGACCAACATTATGTTGAAAACCATCACTATATTTTAATGTATATAAAACAAAGTGGTTGTAAGGTTTTTGTATGCATTTCTTTTTCCTTTGTTCCATATTTATTTAGTTTTAACTAAATCAACAGAAGATTATGCTTAAAGATAGCAGAAAACTATTTGCAAGGTGAATTGTGTTAGCTTTCTGTGGTTTTATAGAAGTAGATTTATTTATATATTCATGTATAATCAACTTGTCGAAAATGTGGATTAAAAGCCAAGCATGTATACTCGATAAAATAAGTTTCCAACCATCACTAACATTTAAATTTGGCACAGAAAAACACATAAGAGAATGGTATCTCATAACCATATGAACTCTACACACGCAGGGCTGAAAAAGAGAGGGAGAATATGAATAATTTTTCTCATGTTCCCCCGGGTTTTCGGTTCCACCCCACTGATGAAGAACTTGTTGACTACTACCTGAGGAAGAAAGTTACCTCAAGAAGGATTGACCTAGATGTCATAAAAGATGTTGACCTCTATAAAATTGAGCCATGGGACCTTCAAGGTGGTAAAATTAGTTTGCAGAGTTAAAAATTTAACAAGAAAAGAAAAACATAGTTGATGTAAAATGGCATTAATATTTTGGTTTCATTTTTTGAAAATATGAAGAGCTTTGCAGAATAGGAACAGAAGAGCAAAATGAATGGTACTTCTTTAGCCATAAAGATAAGAAGTATCCAACTGGAACTCGCACAAATAGAGCAACAGCAGCAGGGTTTTGGAAAGCAACTGGAAGAGACAAAGCAATCTATTCGAAGCATGACTTGATAGGGATGAGGAAAACCCTAGTCTTTTACAAAGGTAGAGCCCCCAATGGACAAAAATCAGATTGGATCATGCACGAGTATCGACTTGAAACAGATGAAAATGGCACACCCCAGGCAAGTTTCAAATATTTTATTCATATATATGCTTTTGAAGACCTATCCTTTTCATCATTTATTTTTGTTCAACAAAACTTAATGATTCATTACCATTTTTTTCATTATTCAGTTTATTATATATATATATATATATATATATATATATATATATAGTTGGTATATGTATCATATATAAGACAAAACTAATGCACTAGAAAACATGATGAGTGCGTATGTATATGATGTCTGTATGTCATGTTTTTTTATTTTAAGATTTATTTGGTTGGAATGTATATAAACTTTATGATAAAAAACATGAGGGGTTATTAGATACAAAGAATAAGTGCTTTTGAGAGTTTCTCTACGAAAAATATAAAGTTTTTTTTTCTAAGAGATAAATTTAAAAAACTTTTCTAACTTTATATATCCAAACATATTCATAAACTTAAAGAAAAAAAATGAAAATATTAGAAAAAACTTTTGTCACTCTGAAGCCATAACTTATGTTTTTGTTTGTTTTTTGGTGACTTTATGAATGAATTCCTTTAAACCAACAAATGGATTAATCATGAAATTGAAGAAAAAAAAATGGTTATGGTTTAAAGCAGGAAGAAGGATGGGTTGTGTGTAGAGTATTCAAGAAGAGACTAACAACCATGCGTAAACTGAGTGAGCATGATTCTCCCTGTTGGTATGATGACCAAGTCTCTTTCATGCAAGACATGGATTCACCAAAGCAAAGCTCTCAACCAAATTTGCCCTACCAGTTCCCATTTCCATGCAAGAAAGAGCTTGATTTGCCATACAATTTGCCTCTCCACCTTCAATTGGAGAACCAAAAACTTCTTCAAGCTGCCTCCAACTCAATGACACCATATGGTGTAGAAGAAAGCCACCATGCCATGCAGCCAGCATCAATCATGCAACAAGTTCAACACTCTGGTCCACAAAATTTTCAGACAGTTTTTGGAAACCATGGCAATGAACAAGTGGCTGATTGGAGAGCTCTTCACAAGTATGTTGCTTCACAACTTAGTCAGGAAGATGCTCCCAAAGAGAATAGTTTCTCAAACTCTGGCAACAACAACATCTTTCATGTGAAGAACAGTAGCAATGTTGAACAGTTGAGGGACTTGGACAAAGAGGAAATGATGCCTGAAAATGCCTCAACTTCAAACTCAAGCTGTCCAATTGACATGTGGAAATAGTGGCTGCTGAAATTGATTCTGAGTTTATACTATATATCAATATTATAGGGTACTATTAGTCAATATTACAAAAATGGAAAAATACAAAAACTTATAATTTCTTGTACATAATAAATGAAATGAAGTACATGACATTAAAGCTAGTGCCTGTGAACTCTTTGGCTTCACTTCTAGCTAGCATTAAGTTAAAATTTATTGAAAGAGGAAAAATAATTTGTAGCATGTGATCACATTTCCCATAAGAGATAAACTTGCAGGATTTCTAGTTCTTGTGTGGATTAAGAAGATGGCTTGTATTTTAAATTCAAATAAAATAGTTCTAGAATAAATGATTCTTCATCCATTTTGTTGTTGTTAGTTTTATTTCTTTTAACAACTTATTGTTCTCTAAATATGGAATAAATCTTCCTCATCTCGATTGTGCAACACAAGAATCAGAACAAAGAAAATAGACAATTTCTGAGAGATTGATTTGAATAAGAATTTCACTCAATTATTAATTATTTATCTTCACCTGTGAATGTGGGCACATCCTTGTACTGTGTGTTCCCTTTCCTTGGCAGCAAAGATACAAGAAAAAGTATAATTATTACTTACAGTTGTTGGTCGAGTATCAAGGAACACTACAATCCCAAAATTAACAGATGAAACACGTTTTTCTAAACACCTAAACCAGGATATACATTTTAATATTGTAAGGGAGATATGAAGAGAAGAAAGAGAATTAAAAAAAAATGTTATATATATATATATATATATATATATATATATATCACATACATAGTATATATATATCTTTTCCATACAAGTTATATATATCTGTACCAATTTTTAGTAACATTGAATGGATTTTACAATAGAAACATTTTTGAATTTAAAAAATATATGATATCACTATTGTCTGTATATTATAATTATTATTTTAAAAGTGATATAAGTTGGTGTTAAATTTAAAAGTGTTTTTATTTGTAATAATAATAAAATTTGTTTTGAAGCTTACTCTGGGCCCAGTACCAGCAATGGTTACAGATATGCTTTGCCGCCAAGTCTGGCAACATATACAGACAAGTCATGTAATCATATGCGTTATATGAAATCTCTTTGATGTTTAGAAGGCAAGCAAAAGATCAACCATATACATTACCTAGGGTTCCAATTGGAACTACAACACCTCTTATACTTATTTCATGTTGTACCTAATCATGCAAGCAAATGATTAGAAGCATGATGAAGATTATATATACTTGACTTCAAAGACTAGTTGAGGAATCAAACTATATTGCTATGCTAAATGTAAGAATCAAATCATTGTGAATATTTTACATAGAGTGTAAAGTAGTATTGGTGAGGCATATTGATAATAGGTTTCATGTTAACTAAACATACCAACCTTGATGACAAGATAACCATATTCCTGGTCTGAAAAAGATAATTCAAATGTAAATGAATGAAAACATTCATTTTTCTTTTCCTTTTTTGTTGTCAGAAAGATTGTATGTTACTTTGGGAAGGAGTAACTGTTGACGAAGATTAAAACATAACAAAGGTTATTACGAACATAAGGTAACTTCAACAAAGATTTAAACAATAGCCACAAACATATACAAAAGGTGAATGAATATCTCTTGCTAGTGCACGCCATACAATCAGCACATAGAGGAAAATTGAAAGAAGACAAATAATTAAAGCTTTAAAAATTTTGTATTTTAATGAATTAGCACCGTCTTATAAAGGAGGTTTAGAGGAAGGAATTCAATGAAGCAGAATGCATTTGAGAGATATCAAGAATCAGAGAGTAGGTGAAGTAATTTTTAAACTGATAAGAGGAAGTTGAAATAAGCAAGAACGAGTGGATTAGAAAGAACACAGGCCACTTAAAAATCTAAAGCCTGAAGTAGATCATAGAAGAATAAAGTGCAGAAGGAAATTGAGTTGACACTGATATACACAGGAACCTACCAGAAGAAACTATAACCTAGCAATTGAACATGAATGTAAAGATTAAAAAGATGAAGAAAAAGCCATGTGGTGATGATCTTGGATTTATGATAGATACAGGAACCTAGGGTTTAATATATAAAAGAAGAAGCAGAAGGGGGTGCTGTGGGAACTGCATAGTTGAGAAATGTTACATATTTGGCTACTGTTGGATTTTGAAAAAAAAAAAATAGACATATTCATTGGTGAATTGTTACATTGCATTTGTTGGTGTTCTTATCTTATTATAAGCAAAAGCAGTCCCAGAAAACACACTCATGAGAAGAGGGAGAGATGCATAAAAACGGGAGACAGTGAATGAGTTGTGGAATCAAAGGGAGGCAAAGAAGTTGTAATTAGTCAAACCTAATATTATTTACTTGAGTTTCGCGTGCAATATTTCCTTTGACCAAATTAAGTTGATACTATATATTTTCATACTATTTTTACCAGTCATCAACTTGGAGATTATTAGTAAACAAACATTGTATGCTCCTTATTTTTACAAAATGATATCATTTTATTACCATTATAATGATAAAATATATAAAAATTGGAATATATAATGGTAAAATATAAAATATAAGAAAATTAAAAATGTGATGATAAAATAGGTGAAAAAAATAATTTTGTAATAAGCTCTATCTCTTGAAATTAATGAATCTAATGCTATCCTTTGAATAACGAAATTATTCTGAGATTATCAGAAATCTGTATCGCTGAATCAATTTTATAAATGTATTTATGATTACTTTACATTGTTTATAATGGAAGGACGGATAAAACATCATTAATTCACATCCAATTCAAACATAAGCATGTGACTGCTATTATGTTACACAGTAATCATCTAAATATAAATATCCACTTCGTGTTGCTGAAAATTATGAAAAAAAAAAATAAAAAAAAAAATTCAATTTGGATGAACTCAAACACAATTTGATTCAAAAATGTCAACGTATGAAACGAGACTTGGTTGATCCAACGTATGAAACAAGATAGAAAATTAGGTGAAAAGAAGAAAAAAGAAAATGTAACCACTGCTTGATGTCTTTCATTGACAACATTTTTTTTAAACAAGAAATAATTTGTGAAACCCCATTCGTTTGTGCATATTCCAAGTCTAACACAGATACACCCAATTTTTAGTACAATACATGACAGGATTCAGCTCAAATATGTGTAACCAATAATTTGTATACCATGGATTGAAATTTGAAACTGACCAAACCCAAGTAGCCTTTAAATGTGATAAACATCTAAACAAAGAAAAATGTGTACAAAACATGACATAACTAAACAAAAACATTTGTACTTCCTTTTGACAAAGAAATTAGTATTCCACCTTTTTCACAATCCTATAACTACATAGTTCGGAATTATAGAAGTGTCAACAGGGCAGAAAAAAACAGAATCTTAGCTAGCTTGCATGAGAAAGATCACAGCAAAAAGTCCCAGGAACAATGTGAAAAGGTTCAAGCTATGTCCCAAAGTAGAAGCAGCAGAAAAATGAGAATTCGACCTGCAGGTAGAGAGAAAGTATAGTCAAGAAGCGAAGACAAAAGGTAAGGTACTAAGCTTAGACAATGTCAACATGAGATATATGAAGTACTTCTGCAAGCTCTTGAGGGGACCACAATATAGAACATTATCTGGTGCAGACATCTCTGTATCGCCATTTTCTTCTGGGTTGACAATCCTCAGATAAGTTTCTTGGCCTAGGTACCACCTGTCCAGGTTTTCTGCTCTCAGATTCCATGATCCAACATTGTCAAGCGATATAAGGATCGCTGTCCATCCTCCAGGAAAAACCTGTTCAATGGCAACAACCATTAATACTAAACTCACTCTCAAAGCCTTAGCTAGCACATGCAAATCATAAAAACTTGAAGCATTTAACAAGTCCTGAATGGAGCATATAGACTACATATTTATTTTCAGTTTCTGACAAGAACAAAGCTTCTACTTCTCATGAACATTCGAAAAATACATAAAAAACATCGAAAACAACATCGCCCTTTTTCTTACCTGAGTTGTGCAGCGAGATATTGCATCCCACTTGTTATAAGAGCCTCTAGAATTTTCTGACCAATCCCCATAGTCCATTCTGGATTCAAGAAATCAATTCATGAACTGTGATCACAGACAATATTGTACTCCAAGAACAAACAGCAAGTAAAAGATGTTCTCACCCAACAACAAAAAAGGAGTAGCCATCCAGATGAAAGTTCTGAATAGAAGAGTCATTGTTTTGCAATATGATCTCAATGAAGCCCTTATATGTAGCATTGATAATTGATCTGTCAACTACTGGTGTTCTGTTCATTGGCTTGCTGGGAAAATCAAGCTTATATATTCCTCTTAATTGATGCTGGTCAGCAAGCCGGAATGGAACGTCAGGCTTGAGAAATGAGATCCCGTTAATTGTAGCCCGATTTGTACCATTAATCGGTGCCAGTGACGTAACCTTTAACAAATAAGTGTCAGTTATATTGATGGAGCCATACCGGAAGGATCCTTGAGGATTCGGACGAGCACCACTAGCAGACGTATTTTGTCTGCTCAAGAGCATTTGAAAGCTTCAGTTAATACAGAACTATATGCAAAGTAATAAATAATGAACAAAATACAGAAACTGTAATGTCTATGCCCTTTAAACTTATCAAGTTAATAGAACAAAATTTAACAAGGTTCTATAATCTTTCAAGAAAAATGATTTAGTGGAAGAATTTGATAATACATTAACCTCATTGACAATGACTATGAAGATCAATTTTCAATCCATTTTAAAAAAAATGAAAAATGATGGTTAATATGGAATATCAAATGAACCAAAGGATAAATTGTTCAACTGCAATAACTGTGATTAAATTCCCTATGATATCAAATTCTGAATGACAAACCTGACACTTCTTGCTTGGTTCATCGAAGCTGTCTTGTCATAAAAATCATCTGGTGGGGGAGGCAGAGGACCAGTTGCTGGTCCCTTGGAATTTGAATAGTGCAAAATTGCAACACCTGTA